TTTTCGCCTTGAAGAAGGGACCCTGCGCGGCCCCCGAAACGTCGGCTCTGTTGATTATTGTGACACAATCGTCCAATAAAAAGGACATATCTATTTAAATGATCTTGAGGGCTGGTGACCTGTTTTTCTACTTTGTGTTTTGCACGGTGCCATCAGTGGCAGTTACTACAAGCACCACTGTTTTTTACTGGCCGGGACTGCTGAAAGGTGTGCGGAGAGCACCCTCACTAAAATGAACTATACATGACATCCAGCACCAAAATAAATTACCTCAGTGGGCAGATGCAATAGCTAGCCTGCCATTGGCTATTGCAATTTGAAATATCCAATAGCAGGCTGGCTATGGCTCCCAGCATTAAAATAAAATTTAAAAAAAAGTTAAACAAAATAAAACTAAAAAGACAAAAAAAAAAGGAAACAAAAAGTTAAATAAATAAAAATTAAACATGCAAAAAAATAAATAAATAAAGTATATAAAATGAAATTAAAAATAGAAAACAACTTTTTATGGTGTGTAATTTTGAATAAACATTTTTTTAAATTATATAATAATCTTCTGAACAACAGGAACAGACAGCAAAACAAATGTGACCCTTTCCTATGCTATCCAAAACTAAAACATGTTTTTTTGGCTGGAGTTACCCTTAAAAAATTTACCTACAAATTCAACGTAAAGTGACATTAAACCCTCAGATTTTTTAACATAAAACAATACTGTAATGTTCGCCTTCCTGTAATCCATGGTAGTTTCCCTTCTCTTTGCTGCTTTTCCTTTTAAATCCTCATGTCTTCTCATGCTTGGTGAGAACTTCCCTTTTCAGCTCAGGGTCTCTTCCTGTAGTGCTGGCTCAGGTTACAAACCCAAAGAAACGTATACACAGACACCGTGTATCCATTCCTCAGACAAGGCAGTCTGTTGCAAAACAGAAGTTCTGCAGAGCATGAGAACAGATACAGATTTAAAAAGGAAGAGCAGCAAAGAGAAGGGAAACTACCATGGATTACAGGAAGGCACACATTACTGTATTGTTTTATGTTAAAAAATCTGAGGGTTTAATGTCACTTTAAGTACAAACCTAAAGTCCCCGATCTTGTATGTAACCTGGGGAGGACTGCCTGTATACAATTATTATTGTAAATAATCTACAACTACATTGTACTAACATTTCTTATATATCTACCATATTTAATGAGAAACATAGAGTACCGGCCATGATCTGCTTATTTGTCACTTGTTGTTGTGTAAATGTGCCAAACATGTTGTATATTAATGCCTACCGCCTCTTTAACTTCACATGTGCAACAAAGCTCATTAAAAAAAATTTCACCTGTGTACACATCTGCCGCTACCTTTGTAGAATCATTGGGAATAAAGGTTCTCCTGCCCCGTTGTTATATTAACCTTCAATACAGATTTACACATTAACTTATTTATTAATGACATCGGGGGAGGGGTTTGTAATATACAGGGGGTACAGGTAATATACAGGGGTAAAGGTAATATACAGGGGTACAGGTGTACAGGTAATATACAGGGGTACAGGTAATATACAGGGGGTACAGGTAACATACAGGGGTACAGGTAATATACAGGGGTACAGGTAATATACAGGGGTACAGGGGTACAGGTAATATACAGGGGTACAGGTAATATACAGGGGTACAGGTAATATACAGGGGTACAAGTACTCCTAAGAATGAGATCCTATAGGTTGGACTGGATGGACTAATGTCTTTATTCAACCTCAAATACTATGTAACTATGTAACTATGTAACATTCTGATCAGATCACATTTTAGATCATTGCTGACAGGAGAGCTCTAACTCTGCCTCATTAACAGGTATCATAGACCTCTGCAGAGAGATCACTGCTTCCACACCAAGAACGAGGGTCTGTCTCCACAGCATGCTGGTGATGGATGGGTTTATACACTTAAGTTTGACACACCTGTAATGTATTTAGCTGATTAAAACTGTATTTTAATTTGTCATTTAGGTGTTTTTTTTTGTACAGAATAACACTGTGATATAGGCGGCTGAACAAACACCAGCCATGATTTATAGATAGAGTCTCTCTCCTGCCCCTGTGGACCTCCAGAAACCCTCTAACTGGAGAGCTGTTTTGACTTTCTAGAAGGAGGAATCTGGAAGAAAGAAAAGTATATGGCCCATGAGGGGTGAGACACAAGCTGTACATGGGCACTTCTCCAGAATGGGGAAGCCTATGCTGCCTGATCTCCATTGACCAGGAGGGGATTCACATAGGGCACTGTGGCTGTGAGTGAGATTAAGGAGGCTTAAAGGTTCACAGGACCTGATCTCTAACTTCACTACATAGTAATGAAGGATTCGTTGAGATACATTCTATATTATGTCGGGAATTATCGTCTTCACAAAATCGTTGAATGCTGATTTTAAATCCTGGTTCCTCAGACTGTATATCAGGGGATTGAGAAGAGGAAGAATGACCGTGTAAAAGACAGACACCACTTTGTCACCACCATAATGACTTGGGTTTGGAAGGAAATAATTAAACACAATGGAGCCATAAAATATGAAGACCACTGTCAGGTGAGAGGTACATGTAGAGTAAACTTTGCTCATGTTGCCCTTAACTTGCATTTTTAGGACAGTTTTAAATATAGAGACATAGGGCAGGAAGGTCAACATTAGAGACCCACCTGCAAAGACGCCACCCAGGAGAAAGGTGAGCAGAATGTTGATGTAGATGTCACTGCAGGAGATCCGAAACAACTGAGGGAGATCACAGAAGAAACTTTCTATAATATCTGATCCACAGAATGTTAATTTCAAGGCACACAGTGTGTGAATTAAAGAATGTGTGAACCCGAGGAACCAGGAACCAGATGCCAAGTAAACACAAACTTTCCAACTCATCACCTGAACATAATGCAATGGCTGGCACACAGCAATGTATCGATCATAGGACATGACAGCCAACAGAAATATCTCAGACATGCCAAATAACATAAAGAAAAACATTTGGGTTATACACGCCGTCATGGTAATCTTTCTTCTCTGGGTGAGAAGGTCAAATAACATTCGTGGGATGATGACTGAGGAACAGCAGAGGTCCAAGCTGGCCAGATTCCCAAGAAAGAAATACATAGGGGTATGGAGGTGAGAGTCACTGACTATGAGGGAGATGATTGGCAAATTCCAGAGTAATGTCAGAAGGTAGATGAGAAGGAAGAAGAGGAAGAGAGGGAGCTGAAGAGCCGGAATATCGGACAGTCCAGAGAGGAAGAATTCATTCAGAATTGTCTGATTCCCCATTGAAACAATATAACTCACGTTTATTTATCATAAAAAATCTCCAGTAAAATGTAACTGGAATTATAACAAAATAAACCTTTATTTCTGAAGCTTATGGGATATATTGATACACAGTTTCAAATATTAATATTCTTTAACAAATCTGGAAAAATAAATTCAAAATGAGTTCAGGAAACATGATCAAGTTTCTTGCCACTCTCAGCCATGTTATAAAATGTATCAAGAAAAATTCAAACATCAAAGTTGTTGTAACACACATGGACAGGTATGCTATTTCAGTTCTTCATAATCCAAGGCTGAAAAAAAACACACAGTGACAGTTATTCCTGCTGCATCAGAAAAAAAAATGTATTTACCTAAACATAGATATCTGTAAAAAAGAAGTCAAGGCAACTGGACTTGCTGTATTGTTCTTGAAGACGTTACACTGGACATCCGACCAACTTTCTCACTTCAGAATGACTTGTACAGAAAATTATCTGGGAATAAATATGGTGAATTTTGCTCCAATCCACATAATCTATTAGTCACAACCGGGGGCTGATTTCATGGCTTCTCCATTATTACATACATGGCCTCTTTCACACCTCTTTTGAACCCGTCCTCCTCCCTGTCTAGGATGAGTACTTAAATGTCTTCAAAGGAGTGACCTTTTTCCTTTCGATGTAGGTACACTGCGACTCCTGACCAGAGTGTTTGGTGTGCCATGCTGTGCCATACGCTGGTGTAGCTGCTGTTTTGTTTCACCGACATACAACTCGGAGCACTCCTCACTGCACTGGACCTCATACACAATGTTGTTCATCTCGTGTTTTGAACAACATTGTGTATGTAGTTAATAACACCTCCTAGACTACAATTATGCAAATGCAATCAACACCTGGTTGTGACAGACTATGTGGATTGGAGAGACATTCACCATATTTATTCCCAGATAATTTTTTGTAAAAATCATTCTGAATTGAGAAATCCGGTCGGATGACCCGTGAAACGCCTTCAAGAAAAATACAGCGAGTCCAGTTGCCTTGACTTCTTTTTTACAGATATACCATGTGACCTGGATGAATGAGAACCTTCCCAGACATACTAAACATAGATATTTTCATGCAATTCTAGAAAACCCAACGTGTAAATTAGGACCACAAGTAGATAGTATAATTCACATATATATATATAGAGTGAGTGACTATGAGGGAGATGATCGGCAAATTCCAGAGTAATGTCAGAAGGTAGATGAGAAGGAAGAAGAGGAAGAGAGGGAGCTGAAGACAATATATATTGTCCTCCCTCTACACAGATATTAGGTGTTCTCAGCAACTGCTGTAAGGTGACCCAATTATTACAGTAAATGAAAATAAATATAGACCTGTAAATGGAAACAAAGTAACATGAAAGGAAATACATTTATATATGTTTTTCAAATAGTCTGAGAAGCAACAAAAGCAGAAGAAAAATATTGCTTCATTCTGTGTCACAATAAAGATTTATTAGCCGCACAGACATATATTTATAGGGCAGACATTTCCCCCTGACATCTGAGGAACACACAGGAGTATTTATTGGCTCTGTATTCATCTGGGATTAATCTAAGACACAGATACAAGAAAATGAGTCTCTATAGAACTTCTCCCTCAGTGACTTTATATGCTGTTTATAAAAAAAAACAATTTGTTTTTGCCACACTTAACGTTTCTATTTTACTAATAAATGCTTCTCCAATTAATAACATTTGTAAATGAAAATTTACGATGTTAAAATGAATACCAAATAGTGGAACTTTTGGAAAAATTTGGCAAAAAAAGAGAAAAAAAAAACCAACATTAATATAAAAATCAGGTTAAAATAAAACATAACAAATAAAATTCTTAGAATAAAGTTTATTTTCCAGCTGCCTTTTATTGAAGATAACAGATTATTCCACTTTTAGACTGGTGCCAATTATTGTTGAAAATGTTTAACAAACATGGAATTATTTACAAATTGATGAAGCTATTTGGTAAATGGGTTTTATGGAATGAGTTTTAATCATTGTTGAAAAATGTGACAAGCGAACAGTACAATATACAGTATAATTTTTCCAAAGGCCAATGACTAATACAGTGCAGAGTCTGTCAATAATCATTGAAGCCCAATGCCTTCATTGGTGAGAAATTCCCTTAATATCTCCCTTATGTACTAGGAGAAATTACCATCAGAATAATTCAAAACATTAACAATAACTTACAAAGCCATCCACAACTCTGCCCCCGGCTATATCTCAAACCTGATCTCAAAATATCACCCTAACTGCCCCCTCCACTCTTCCAAAGACCTCCTGCTTTCCAGCTCCCTCATCAACTTCTTCCATACTCACCTCCAAGACTTCTCCAGAGTCTCTCCCATCCTCTGGAACTCCTTACCCCAACCTATCCGTCTATCTCCCACTTTGACTGCCTTTAGGCGATCACTAAAGACTCATCTCTTCAGGGAAGCCTATCGCACCTCAACCTATCCGCTGAACCATCACCTTCTCATACACTTCATCCCCCACACAGCTACCTCCTCCTGTATCATGGAAAATTGAGGGATATGTCCTGTTTTGCAGCGCTCTCACGGGGAGGGGGAACCCCCCCCCCCAAAAAGGGGGGTTTGATATTTGTGGAAGTATGTGCATGAAGTTGGCAACTCAGTGTGCTGCTTCACGTGTGTACGGACCAGGGTGTACGTAGTATGTTAAGATGAACAAAGGTGGGAGGGGAAGCTCTCAAACTGAGTTGTACCTGTCTAGCAGGTGGGGATTTGGCTGGGTGGGGGTAGATGGTGTGTTGGGGTCTGGGACCGCTTGGGTGAACAATGGGTGTAGGTGAGGCAGGATAGATGGATCAGGTGAAGGTGGGTGGAAGGGAGAGATGGGGAGAGATCACATGTGATGAGATGGATGGCCTACAGGTGATGGACTCCTGGTGATGTCGTGAGATTTGGATCATTTGGATCATCCAGAGATGCAACTAACTTGGATGATCCAAAGGTCACAACATCACCAGGAGTCCATCACCTGTGGGCCATCCATCTCATCACATGTGATCTCTCCCCATCTCTCCCTTCCACCCACCTTCACCTGATCCATCTATCCTGCCTCACCTACACCCATTGTTCACCCAAGCGGTCCCAGACCCCAACACACGATCTCCCCCCACCCAGCCAGATCCCCACCTGCTAGACAGGTACAACTCAGTTTGATACATATTCTTTTTACATTTTTTTCTATGAACCTTTTAGACATGTTCCCCCGTAACACTGAACGTGGTAGAGACATTGTGGAATGGGACGACTTTATTCATAAAGATTTGTCTATTAATCATAAGGCTGACTTACACTCATTTATTCTGGCCACTAAGGGCTATGAATTACTGAGCTGAAGGACCCGGTCCCCAACATGGGTTATATGCTCAGATTCAATGACCCTTCGTTTCTCCCAGTATCTCCATTCCGCTTCATATTAAGGGGTGACACACATACTCTGCTAGCTCTACCTGTGGACTCTATGAACCCCTCCCTCGGACCCTTTATGGATTTCGACCCACTATTGACCTACCTCATTTCTACACCTTAGACCTTTTCCCACCATCAGCGGCCTTACCACTTCCACGTTAAACTGTGAGAACATGTACAACTTACACTCCTACAGCTAATGATCTGGTTCTTTAACATATAGTATTCAGGTTCGAGCTTTAGTCCTTGCTGTATTAATAATACGTCTTCGTTTTAAGAATTGATTAGTGGACTAAATGCTTTTCTTTTGATATTTTTCCTTTTATTTCTGTTTGATACATTTGCCTCAGAGGTGATATCTATATCTATTCTAGTATCCCGCTTCCAGTCTATGTATGGGGACGATGGCTTCACTACTATGGATATCTACCTCCTTATGTCATGTATCAGTGGTCTTCTTTTGATTGTTTGCAGCTCTGTTGTATGACACTTTTATTGTGACCCTGCGCACTAACTTTCAATAAAACTTATTGCTTAAAAAAAAAAAAGTTTCTGCTTTTCTCGAAAGAGCCAACTCTTTATTGACCAGGTAAATGGCACACTACTGGTTCAAACCCATTGTAGTGTACACAATAGTCTCTTTAGCTCGTTCTTCATTGTTAGTCTTTGATGAAAGTTATGCTTTTTATTTAAGGACATGACGGCAAAGGTTACGCCAAAAGATTATTTCATCTCCCTTATTTTACAATTACTTAGATGATCCACCAATATGGAGCGTTATCTCCATTTCTTGAATACCATTATTATTAAACATTTTTAAATCTAATATAAAATAACTATTAGAAAACAGTTTTAAAATCACAATAAACTGCAATATATATATATATACAGTGTCTCACAGAAGTGAGTACACACCTCACATTTTTGTAAATATTTGATGATATCGTGTCATGTGACGACACAGAAGAAATTACACTTTGCTACAATGTAGAGTAGTGAGTGTACAGCTCGTATATCGGTGTACATTTGCTGTCCCCAACACACAGCCATTAATGTCTAAACCGCTGGCAAAAAAAGTGAGTACACCCCTAAGTGAAAATGTCCATTATTTTCCAGCACAGCCTTAACCCTCTTGGGCATGGAGTTCACCAGAGCTTCACAGGTTGCCCCTGGAGTCCTCTTCCACTCCTCCATGATGACATCGCGGAGCTGGTGTATGTTAGAGACCTTGCGCTCCTCCACCTTCCATTTGAGGATGCCCCACAGATGTTCAATAGTGTTTAGGTCTGGAGATATGCTTGGCCAGTACGTCACCTTTACCCTCAGCTTCTTTAGCAAGGCAGTGGTTGTCTTGGAGGTGTGTTTGGGGTGGTTATCATGTTGGAATATTGCCCTGTGGCCCAGTCTCCGAATGGAGGGGATCATGCTCTGCTTCAGTATGTCACAGTACATGTTGGCATTTATGGTTCCCTCAATGAACTGTAGCTCCCCAGTGCCGGCAGCACTCAGCCCCAGACCATGACACTCCC